TATCATGTCCCTCCTCATCCTTCTCTTCATTAAACTAGACATACCCAATTCCAGCAACTGTTCCTCATATGTTTTAGCCTCCAGTCCAGGTTAACCAAGTATGTAGTAGTAAAACAGACTATAAATTTTTAAAGTAAATAGCTTTCATGGCTTTCTGTTGAAATTAAATAACCAAATACTGCTTGCTGTTTGTGTAATTGTGTTGATGTCCTGATACACAAAACCATCTGTATGGTCTGATTCTAATTATCAGCTATATTTCTCTTACAATCAGAATGTTTGTTTGTCTCCTTTTGCAGTCCCAGTGCAGAAATATGCCGAATTTTTCTTTTTCAACGGCTCATAATTTCCTCCGTTTCACTCCTGAATCTTTGGATGCAATTAAAAAGAGAATTGCTGAGAAAAAAGCCAATCGCGCCAAAGTCTCAGAAAAGGACAATAATGAAACACAAGAAGAAAATATTCAACCACAGCTTGACCTGAAAGTTTTAAAAAAGCTGCCTGTTCTTTATGGGAAGCCCCCTCCTTGGCTGATCGGAGAACCGTTAGAGGACGTTGACCCCTATTACAAGGATCATGAGGTCATACAGGTTTTTCTTTTTAAAAAATCTCTTATTTTTGGTATAAAATGCTTTTATGAGATTAGTTAGAGTAGAGGTTTGAGGAACACAAAAGTAGAATTTTTTTTAAAAGAGCTGAAACATAAAATGGGTCAGTATTCATGAATGGAGGAGTCCTATACAGTTGAATTGTGAAATATGTGTCTGAGTTTCAAGTAGAAAATATTGTATGTATTTTATTGACGAAACATTGAGGGCAAGAGAAGAATGGGACGACAGAGAATGGAGTCGCTGAAGCAGGAGGCGTGAGCTTAAAGGGACTCCAGAAGATGGTAGAAGACAGGAAGGCCTGGAGGAATGTTGTCCATGGAGTCGCGATGGGTCGGATGCGACTTCACAACTAACAACAAATTTTATTGACTCTGGAACTAATTGTTGGTAGTTAGTTGCTGTTAGAGGTACCCTTGATCTAACCTGTAGATTAGAACCAGTGATTTCACAGATAATAGGAAAACCAAAATGTGTGAAGTAAGAATCATTCTGTTTTATTTTAAATTAATAAAAAAAAATTCAGGGGATTTTTATCAGTCCAGGACCTATGTAGCTCAGAGGTTGAGGCACTGTTAGATAATGTCCTCCATTCTCTCTTATTGGTCAGTTGAAGGAAAGAATGGGAGCAAAAATTGAGAATTTTTGAAATTCTCCGAATTTCCAAATCGTCAGAAATGGGTAAGGTTGTGGATTTTCTTCAAACTTTTACTAGGGGGTAAAAATTCTGGGGTTGTGAAAGTGCCCTTTTTATAGAAAACGTTGAGAAAGCACTGGAAAAATTCTTTGGAGCCTTAGACTTTAAATGATTCAGGACAGGCAATTAAATCATTAATGACTAAATCTAGAAACCTACAAAGATTAATTGGGATGTACTAAAACTGCTCAAAAGTCCATTACTGCTTATACAGCTTTTATCTGTGCTCCTCCACAATATTCCCAGCAGTTTTTTCCCCAAGCTACAGTAAAATATAGCCCGTTTCCAGTCTTCTTTCAATTGTATCATAATATCACATCATAATGATGCTTCTAGTGGTACATATCCTGCTCTTTCTCATTTCAAGAAACAAAATTACGAGTTTGAAAATCAAAATTGCATTGCCTGAGGCTGGTCTTCAGAAAACCAGCCACTTGGAAATTGCACAGACATTATAGTCAGAAAAGTGGTATACAAGTAGTCCTTGACTTACAACCACAACTGAGTCCAACATTTCCATCACTAAGCAAGAGAGTTATTAAATGAGTTTTGACATATTTTATGATCTTTCTTGCCACTGTTGTTACGTGATTGCTGTTGTTAAGTTACTAACATGGTTATTAAATGAATCTGTCTTCTTCATTGACTTTGCTTGTCAGAAGTTTGCAAAAGGGGATCGTATGATCCCGGGACACTGCGACTGTCATAAATATATGCCAGTTGCCTTCACCATGGGGAAACTTTAATGATCATAAGTGTGAAAACTAAGATTATAAGTCATAAGTTACTTTGTTCAGTGCTGTTGAAACTCAGATGATTATTAAATGGATGATTGTAAGTCAAGAAATACCTGTAGAAGAAAAGGGTTAAAAACTGATCTAAATTGTCAAGTCCACAACTGACATCTGCTATGGGGAAAAACAAACATCAAAATTAGTTAGTTTTTCTACCTAAGGTAAGCATCAGCGAAAAACCTACCTCAGGATTTTCTGTTTTTTTTTTTTACGTGTCTCATTATTGCAATGATAGGATAGGACTTGCTGACTTTTTGTATAAGAGACACAATTCTGTAGCTGCTAAGATTGGTATGTAGTATTTTTCCATGTCAAAATGTACAAAACTGCATTGAATTTATATTGGTGGAAGTATTTCAGTCTTCCTAAACCAATGTCCTTAGATTTGGAAATTCTGGGAATTTTAGTTCAACACAAGGCTTCCAAGCTGAGAGTTTGGTTGTTACAACTTTTAAATAAATAATATTTAAGATGTTCTTTAAAATCTCTTCTAAACAGCATACGTTATTTACAAAGAATTTACCTATATTTTACAGACATTTATGGTGCTATCATCCCGAAGCAGAATCTTTCGATTTACAGCCTCCAAATCTTTATTTTTATTTAGTCCATTCCACCCACTAAGAAGACTAGCCATAAAAATTTTAATACATGTATATCCTTCTAATGTGGATATGGGGGTTCACTCCATGGTTGTTAGTAAATATGTATACCAGTCTAGGCTGGATTCACGTAGCATAACAAACAGAGGATAAATAGTTTATAGTTCAATTATCATGGAAATCTAGCCACTGTTCCATCATTTTATGAGACACTCATGATATGCCATTGTTTATTGGTATGAATCTAGCATGATATGAGAAGACAATTGTATTTTTAAGTGATACAGTGGCTTTCTTCCCTTTTTATATACTCTTAGACTGGAGAGTAATTGAGTCTCATAACAGAGGCCTCTTACTTCCTTGCTGAAAGGGGGATTAATATCTAGAATAGAATAGAATAGAATAGAATAGAATAGAATAGAATAGAATAGTAACTTTATTGTCACTTTAAATGTAAACTAATCAGCATACATTAAAATAAATTTTTATTGCATTCAGTGCTCAAAGGGTCACCACCTCGGATATACACTACATAAATATGACAAAACTAAATAAATAAATACAGAATTATGCATATACCCACATATATTATAACACAGAGAAACAACAGTCTAGTTTGGGTTATGTATTTACCAAATATTATATAGATAGTCCTCAATTTACAACAATTGACCCAAAATTGTTGTTGCTAAATGAGACAGTTGTTAAGTAAGTTTTATCTAGTGGTGGGATTCAGCCGGTTCGCACCAGTTCGGAAGAACTGGTAGCTAATTTTTGGTTGCCCTGGCCCACAATGGACTTCCAGAAGCAGCATCCACAAAGAGAACTGGCTGGTCACCTATTTGAATTCCATCACTGGTTTTGTCCCATTTTGCAACCATTCTTGCCACAGTTGTTAAGTGAATCACTGCAGTTGTTAAGTTAGTAACATGATTGTTAAGCGAATCTGGCTTCCCTCTTGACTTTGCTTGTCAGAAGGTCACAAAAGGTGATCCCATGACCCTGGGACATGGCAACCATCCTAAATACAAGTCATGACCATGGGGAAGCTGCAATAGTCATTAAGTGTGAAAAATAATCATAAGTCACTTTTTTCAGTGCTGTTGTAATGTCAAAGAGTCATTAAACAAATGGTTGTTTAAATTAAGGGCCTTAGTATTCAACCTTTAGTTCTGTGTGACAAAACACCTGTAGTAATTTGTTACCTCTGGGGCACTTAATGTATGACTAAACATACTTTTTTCAACTTGCTTGAATAAGACTAAGCTATATCCTATTAAAGAGGATCTTAATCTTAACAGTCACTAAATGAGAGTTGAGAACTACTTGTAATTGCTATTGACTTCATATGGATTCCATATGCTCAGACCCTAATTATTTCAGCATAGGGAGACTACTTATACCTGATAAATCCCAATAATGGTGAAATCAGTCATATAATACATCATGCTGTTCAGCAATAGTCATAGTAATAATCAGGTTTTATTAAATTTGGAATAGATATTTTGTGATCCCAGCAACTTCATTTCCTTTTTGATTGGATTCACATGTTCTATTCATTTCAAACAAAATCCAAACTCTTGGGTTCCTCAGTTCTCTCATGATGATCAAAATTAGGTGGGTTGGATTTATAATGAAGCCACCTTTGATGTTGAACATTGGGTTATATAAGTTACCTAGGAAGTTAAATTCATAAAATAATGGAAATGGAAAGTGCTTTGAGATACTTTGGCACTGGCCTTAATATAGTATATCAATAAATTCACACTATAAATTTGTGATATAGTCCCCAAATCTCTCACAAAACTGAAGCATTGAATAAAAGGTAGGCAATCTATCAGAATTATTTCAAGTAGGATAGTCAAGATGGAAAGCTTGAGTGAAGTTTGTTTTCATTCTTAAGAGCTGAACATGGAACTCTGCTCAGATCAATGTTAACTAGAACTGAGGATAGTGGTGGGATTCAAAGGGTGAACAACCAGTGCTTTGTGTGGATGCCTCTTCCAGAAGTCCATTCTGGGCCTGGGCAACAACAAAATTAGCTACCGGTTCTTCCGAAATGATGTGAACTGGCTGAATCCCACCACTGACTGAGGGTCATAACAGTGGAGGATTAAGTAGAATAACTGCATTGCCCTATTTTTTGAAATGCTTCCTTTAATTTAAGAATACAATTGTAAAACAACCACTTTTTACCATATTAACAGATAATTGAACATACAAATGTATTTTTTCTTCTTCAAAGGAAGACAATTTCCTTAACATTGTTTACTTTGTTTATTGCATTTATAACATGTGTTGTTCTTGTCAACTGTGTTTTTATGGCTTTAAACACTCCTCCAACTGATGGAAACACTACTGAGTAAGTATATTCTAAACTTTCATATTTTCTCCTGCAAGCAATAATTAATGGAACTAATGGACTTGACACAGCAACATAACACAAGCAGCAGTGCTAAATCAAAAACAGTCCAAATTCTGAAGGCTGGGAATTCAAGATAGCATAGCAGATACTCACCTTAATATGCTTCCAGCAAGCTGACTGAATTTTTGCCAGAATTTTTTTTAATCAGAGCTTCTGCAGCCTGTTATGTTCTTCTTGATTCTCTATTAAATATCTTTGAAAAATTATTTTAACTTTTTTCCTTGCTGATGGAAAAAAACCTTTGGTTTTAATCTGGAACATGTAGCTTCCTCCTGCCTCAAACTACCTGGACGAAATTTTATTTAATGATGGTTCTTGACTGTCCGAAGAATATTCAGAATCATTTGTAATTCCTTGCTTGCTGTGCATGAGTTCTCTCTCTCTCTCTCTCTCTCTCTCTCTCTCTCTCTCTCTCTCTCTCTCTCTCTCTCTCTCTCTCTCTTTCCTCTCCCTCTCTTTCTTCCTCTCCCTCTCTCTCTTTCTCTTTCGTCTCCCTCTTTCTTTCTCTCTTTCCTCTTTCTCTTTCTCCCCTCCTCTCTCTTTCTCTCTCTCCCCCCCCCTCTCCCTCTCTCCGATCTTCTGCTCATCTGGCAAGCTGGCTTCAGGCTGTTCTCCAACAAGCTGGCACACATTATTGGGCTGGTTCTCTCCTGCCCTTCCTGCTTCCTGCAGAGATGCAGCAAAGGGAGGAGCCCCACCCAATAAGCTTGTCAGCTTGTTGGTACAGTGTGAGCCCACTCTCTTTCACACATACACACACACACACACACACACACAGAGAGAGAGAGAGAGAGAGAGAGAGAGAGAGAGAGAGAGAGAGAAGGGAAGCGCAAGTACCTCTCTCTGTCTCTCTCTCTCTCTCTCTCTCTCTCTCTCTGCAAGTGGCAGAGGAGGCTGGGAGCCACAGGAGAAGGCTCAAAGAGCCACGGGTTGCTGACCCGTGGACTAGAAGACCTCCAAGCTCCCGTCCAACTCTTACTATTCTGAAAAATATCATATATTTATTTCTCTTTGCGGAGCCCCTGAAGTGATCTTGGGGAACCCTAGAGATCTTGAGACCATACTTTGTTTGGGTTTTATTTTGGTAGTGCTACCAAATCTGAGTTGCAAAACTCCAGACAATTGTATGGAGGCCGCAATGAAAACAGCCCTGCTTGGCATTGTACTTCTGTTTTTATAAAATGACATGATATTTTGGCTTAAAAGCAGCAAAAACTAGTTTGTTTGCAGTCACTAAACACATCAATTGCTGAGAGTTCTTAGTATTGTTTTCATGGTAAAAGGCTTCATTCCCCAGCTAGTTTCCACATTCTGTTCTTTTTGGGAATGTTTCCCCTCTTTGAGGATTAGGCAAATATTTTGCAACAACTAGTAATGTAAGCCGCAAACCAGAGCAAGTTTCTTAACCCGATATGCTTTTGCCCAAATAGGATCTGAACCAGAAAGATAGATTAATATCTATTTATGCATAAGTAAAAGGCAGGTCTCCTAGTGTCACGTTAAAGTTTCCTTAAAAGAGAAAAAAAATCGCTTTATAAACAGTTCAAGCATATTGGATTTGGATTGTGTTCTCCAATTGGCCAGCATCATTTGAATCGTCAAGCTTTTAAATAGCATGCTCAGTAACTATATATATAGCATGTAACAGTTCTTAGCATCCCCTAATTCTTAGCATGATCTTGTTAATAACCAATTGCATATTCATAAGGTGTGTTTCCCACAGTGTGTTTTCAGGTGATTAAAGTTCATACTTTTCCACAGACCCCTGGCTGGTCTGAACCAATACTTACCAGAAACCATGTTTTTGCTTTGTTATTTCAAAGAACAAGAAACATTAATCATAGATGCTCCTTGTTACTGAAAACAGTTACTCAAAGACCACCCCCACTTCCTGCTCCCAATAGTAATACTGAAATATTCAATACTATAAGCTGAATATCCCTTTTTTTTCTACTTCTAATGACTTTTTTTGCTGCTTTCCTTTTCAGAATTATTTTCACAAGCATTTATACGGTGGAGTTCATAGTCAAAGTGGTAGCACGAGGATTTGTTTGTAATGAATTCACTTATCTGCGAGATCCTTGGAATGTGTTGGACTTCTTTGTTTTAATTATGACGTAAGTTTGGGTATTTCTTTGCTGGTTGAAACCCCTGTAGAGATGATGATGATGATGATGATGATGATGATAATAATAATAATAATAATAATAATAATAATAATAATAATAATAATAATAATAATAATAATAATAGAGACAGTCATAGAAAATGATAAAATTAAACAGCTCTGGGACTTCAGAATTCAAACAAACAAGCATCTGCAACATAATACCCCAGACTTAACAATTGTCGATAAGAAAGACAAAAAAGTCTGGATAGTGGACATGGCAGTGCCTGGAGACAGCAGAATAGATGAGAAAGAACTGGAGAAGATAACAAAATACAAAGACCTACAAATAGAAATAGAAAGACTGTGGCAAAAGCAAGCAAGGGTAGTACCAATAGTCATAGGCTCCTTGGGTGCAATCCCAAAACAACTGGAGCACCACTTGAACACCATTGGCATTGACAAATTCGCTATTAGTCAATTGAAAAAGGCGGCCTTACTAGGAACTGCTTCCATCCTGCGACGATATCTGTAATACCATCAAACATCCACATCTGCCTATCCCCGGTCCTGGGTAAGGACTCGATAGGTAGACAAAATGCCAAATCCAGTCTGAACATCTGGCTGACTGTGCGATGATCCATAATAATAATAATAAAGTTGGAAAGGATCTTGGAGGGCATCTGCTCCAACCCCCTGCTCAGACAGGAAACCCTATATAATTTCAGACAAATGGCTGTCCAGTCTCTTCTTAAAAACTTCCAGTGTTGGAGCGTTCACCACTTCTGGAGGCAGATTGTTCCACTGGTTAATTGTTCTCACTGTCAGGAAGTTTCTCCTTAATTCTAAGTTGCTTTTCTCCTTCGATTGCTTCTTGTCCTGCCTTCAGGCACCTTGGAAAATAGCTTGACTCCCTCTTCTTTGGGGCAGCCTCTGAGATATTGGAACACTGCTATCATGATAGATAAGCTCAAACTCTCCTTAGTTTTTAGTGAGAGGGAGTTTCTGATCTAGGAGTTACTAAAGCATGTAGTAATCAGCCTACCTTTTTGGAAATAAGTAGCTTTTTTATTTATTCAATTTATATGGTTACTTATCTCACAAGTGCTTTTAAAAGCTCTATCTCTGGATTTTATTTGAGAAGGCAAAACATAGACAAGAGACAGATGTTAATAGTGTAAAATAAGAACATCATAATAATAAGATTAAACAATATATTTTGTTTCTAACCTCTCAGCTCCCCTGTAAAAAAAATTACCTATAATTCTTACCGTTGAAATAGAAGGAAATACAGATAGTCCTCGACAAGTGAGCCCAAAATTTATGATGCTAAGTGAGATGGTCGTTATGTGAGTTTTGCCCCACTTTACAACCTTCTTTGCCACATTTGTTAAGTGAATCACTGCAGTTCTTAAGTTAATAACACGGGTTAAGTGAATCTGGCTTCCCCCATTGACTTTGCTTGTCAGAAGGTTGCAAAATGGGATCACATGACCCCAACACATGGCAACCGTCATAAATATGAACCAGTTGTTAAGCATCTGAATTTTGATCACATCCATGGCCATGCTGCAATGATCATAAGTGTGAATAATGGCCATGTCACTTTTTCAATGTCTTTGAAAGGTCACTAAACGAAGGGCTGTAACTCAAGGACTCACGGTAAAGAGAAACAAAAGTGACTCAGGGAGCCATTGAGATTTGTTAATGAATGGAGATTTATTGCTGGGGAAATGGGAATGAAGAGTCTTGTGATTAAGGTACTGGGGAAGAAATTAACTGTCCTGCCTTAGTCATGAAAGCTGACTGGGTGATTTTGGACCAATCCCCAGGAGGCATTGAATTCTAGTCCTGCCTTAGGCATCAAAGCCAGCTGGGTGACTTTGAAGCAATCACCAGGAGGCAGTGAATTCTAGTCCTGCCTTAGGCATCAAAGCCGGCTGGGTGACTTTGGAGCAATCACCAAGAGGCAGTGAGTTCTAGTCCTGCCTTAGGCATGAAAACCGGCTGGATGACTTTGGACCAATCCCGAGGAGGCATTGAGTTCTAGTCCTGCCTTAGGCATATAAGGAAAGGCTGCTGGAATTGGGTATGTCTAGTTTAATGAAGAGAAGGATGAGGGGGACATGATAGCAGTCTTCCAATATCTCGGGCTGCCACAAAGAAGAGGGAGTCAAGCTATTTTCCAAAGCGCCTGAAGGCAGGACAAGAAGCAACGGGTGGAAACTCATCAAGGAGAGAAGCAACCTAGAACTAAGGAGAAACTTCCTGACAGTGAGAACAATTAATCAGTGGAACAGCTTGCCTCCAGAAGCAGTAAATGCTCCAACACTGGAAGTTTTTAAGAAGAGACTGGACAGCCATTTGTCCGAAATGGTGTAGGGTTTCCTGCCCGAGCAGGGGGTTGGACTAGATGACCTCCAAGGTCCCTTCCAACTTTACTACTATTACTATTACTATAAGGTGAGAAGCAACCTGGAACTAAGGAGAAACTTCCTGACAGTTAGAACAATTAACCAGTGGAACAACCTGCCTCCAGAAGCGGTGAATGCTCCAACACTGGAAGTTTTTAAGAAGAGACTGGACAACCATTTGTCTGAAATGGTATAGGGTTTCCTGCCTGAGCAGGGGGTTGGACTAGATGGCCTCCAAGGTCCCTTCCAACTTTATTATTATTATTACTTTGGAACAATCACCAGGAGGCAGTGAGTTCTAATCCTGCCTTAGGCATGAAAGCCGGCTGGGTGACTTTGGAGCAATCATCAGGAGGCAGTGAGTTCTCCAGCATGATGAATGTAGCATCTCGGTGGGTAATCTCAGCCTTCCTGCTCAGACAAGACTAAGTCAGAACTTTAGCCACGCCTCCTTTGGGTGGTGCCTTCCCCAGTTTTTGACTTAGTCTCGGCTCAGTAGGACGCAACTTTGTGTGGCTCCTCAGCTAGGCTAGTTAAAATAGGAGATTTATTTATCTGGTAGTAGCATAGAATTAGATTTGATATTGGTTGTTTCCTTTTCCTTTTCTTTATTTTTCTATTTGTTAATCAGCATTTTCAGTTCAAGGGAACTCAAAAGCAGTTGAAGTTCCTTTTAGGTCCTAAAGGGGCCTTTTCCGGCTCTCTCCAGACCGTTTCTCAGCCGCGCCTGATCATCGGGGGATTCAGCGAGAATCAGCTGTTCAGCACTGAAATCGGGCTTATTTTTAGTGCTTGGGGCTTTCCGGGAGTGCGGCTCAGCAGGGAGGCTTTGTTTACGTCAATCTCATGGCACGAGGTCCCTGCTGGTGCACGAGTTTCCAATTCGCAGCGGAGGCTGCGCTACAAACCGCAAGTGTTGTTTTGCCTTATTTCAAAGGGGAAGGTATCCCTTTACAATTAAGCTCCCTTTGTTCCTTTCTTTGGGCTAAACGGCCAAAGTAGATCGCTGGGGCGTTTGTTAGGGCGCCACCATTTTGAGCGACCACAAGGCTTCGGGTCGCCATTTTGAGTCATAATAACAGGCATGGTCGCCATTTTGAAGGCCCTTACGTGCCATAGCGGAGCGATTGGGCCTGATTCCACAAAAACTTTAGCCTGCTGTGCCAGGTTTCCAAGGGGGATTACTCAAGCTCCCCTTTGCTTATTTCTCTCTTGATTAGAGAAAAAAGCTGAAGAAGCGGGGGCGGCCGCCATTTTGGATTCCTCTGTGGATCACACATATTCTTCACAAGGTCTATTCCCTTATACCATCCTCTGAGGGGGTTTTATTAGAATCCACCTGTTCGTATTAGTCCGCAGTGCTGTGCATGCAGGGCCTTGACAGGCAGTTCTAGAGAATTGTCTGGCTGTTTGCCTTCGTGGTTCATCAGAGCGCGGGAACCTCCCTCTCTGATAACCTGATCTGCGTGTTAATTTCCCCCATTCCTGGACATCTCCTACCCGAAATATCCAGTGTGCGATGGCAGACAGTGCAACTCCTCAGACATTGCAGAGCTCTGATGTTCCCCCCGCACAAAAAAAGCACAGATCTTCTGATTTGGAGGCGGGGGGGGGGGAAAGAAAAGGCCAAGACAAAGAACATAGAGCCTTCCAAAGCAGCTGAGCGAGAAGCCTCGAGAAGACATCTGGCGCTGGAGAAGGAGTTCTCCAGAGCTCAAAGGCTCAGGTCCAGTGAGGCTGACGTGGTTTCCCCCATTTCACTGGACCCATCCCCATTCGGGCCTCATTTCGTGCCTTCTCATGATGCCCCTAGGGCGTGATCTCCTCAGGGGGAAACTGAACAGGTTGGTCCCTCTCCTCCACCTCCTCCTCCTCCTCCTCCTCCTCCTCCTCCTTCGATCACACAACAGGTCCCTGAAGCAGCATATCCTTCCACTTCAGCTGGAATTCGTTATTCGGGCCAACAGGCATGGTCTGAACAGTTCCAGGTGTTCATGCATCAGGCCTTTGGACAATTCATGGCGTCATCCATGGGTCAATGGTTCCCTCAGATACCACAACTTCTGCCCATGCCTTTAATTCAAACAGGGCGTGCCCTGTTAACTGGCACTGGGGAGTCTGAGACATCCTCTCAGTTAGGAGAAGGGGAATCAGTGGACCTAGAGACGGCAGACATTCCTATGTCAGAGGATGAGGAGGCTGCACTGGATCCGTCCCCAACATCGGGTCTTTTTGATCCTTCATTGTTCAGGTCATTGCTTATGAAGTACTATGGCTAAATTGGCCGCTGAACAGGAACCTCAGCAATCTACCTCCACTGAACAAGAGTCTAATCCCTTGTTTGTGGAGAAAGTAGTGGAAGAAAGGCACATTCCTTGTCCAAGTGTCTTCCGCTCCATTGTGGAGAAACAATGGTCCTCATTGGCCACTCTGCCTTCTCCTAACAGTACAGAAAAGAAGTTGTTTAACGTTTCCTCTTCATTTGCTTCTCTTCTAGAGGTGTCTACTGTAGATACTCCTCTCACATCGTTGTTCTCCACATCCACAATTCCAGGAGATATGGCTGAAGCCCTAAAAGCGGACGAGAAGAGGTTTG